GGAAAACTTGTTGAGGAGAAATGTGATAGACTCGAGAGATCAAGCAACCTGCCCCTTCTACAATGTGGATATCGAGTCGGCAGAACACATATTGTTATATTGTAGCAACACTAACCCGATTTGGAAAAAATGGATGTTGTGGTTGGATAGCCCGACTCCTCTATCTAGTTCGTTTGAAGGAAACTTATTTGCTCATCCAAGTATACTATTGTCTAAAAAGAGGGTTGATCAGTGGCATGTTATATGGACTGCAATATTATGGTGCACCTGGAGAGCTAGGAACAAATGTGTGTTTGAAGGGGAGCACCTCGATGGGAACCGCTTATTGCAGCAAACTGTGTTATACTCATGGTCTTGGCTTACCTGTTTAAATAATTCATTCAACTATTCATTTAGTCAATGGAAAGCTAATCCTGGACTTTGTATCATTTCCTAAGATCTTTGGTGGGGTTTTGAGGAGTCTTTATAGTAGTCTAGTATGCAAATAATAGATTTTGGACCTTTTAGTTGGAGGCTAATTTGTAATTTAAATTAGGCCCAACTTCGTTGTGTCCTCCGCATGCAAACCTGTATTTGAGTTTGGTATCTCTTGTACCATTTCATTATATAAATTATTTCTTTGTTGTTCAAAAAAAATTAAAATAATGTTTAGTTGATATATAGAAGTTATGTTCTGTGAGTATAAATTAATTTTTTATTGTGAGTTTTATAAGATTGTGTCAATCATATACATAAACCAAATTAATTATATATTAAATTTATAATTAAATGATATGAGTTTAATAATTACCCGCAAGGAAAACTAGTTTGTAATTGAGTTTTTCTTTTTTCTTCATATTTTTTAATTTAGCTCCCAAAGTTAATGATTGGTTTACAATTCATAAAATTTAACACAAGATTCTTTAATATTTTCATTCCTAGACAACTAATTTCAAAGTTTGAAAACAATTTTGAGAATTATGTTCAGCGATAGAGATATTACGCAAATTTGATCGATGATTAGAGATTAAGAGGTTGGAAATTAGTAACTAGGGAGGTTACGAGAATTTTAACAAGTAGGAATTGAAATTTGATACACATTAGTGATGAAGAAAATAACAATCTAATGTTGTCCATATATGAAAATATAAAGAATATTTCATCAAATTTCACAAATTGTAGATAAACTTCTAATCATAAGAATTAAATTATACAAATATACACTACAAAAAATGTTATATATAGTGATATACAAAAAGTGTCACTATAAATACAATATATGTAAGTATATATCTATTTGACATATAGTTACATACAATTTTAGTATTGATTTTGAATAGGATTCAACAACATATTTTGTCTGTCACTATAGCCTATACCCACACTTTTTAATAATATACCAACATATATTATATTTACTATGTGAGTAAAATTAATTTTTAGTAATATGTATTATGTCACTATACGTGTGTCGGTTGTAACACCCGATTGTAACGCCCAATTTATATAATAATAATTATATATTTTCTTATATAATATTTTTGCAATTATATCATTAAAAATATTTTTTTTAATGAAGATAAAGGAAAAGAATATTTTATGAATTTAAGATATGACATATCGTTCTAAAATATTTACAATAATATATTATTTTACACAATATTTCTTTCTTTCACTTCTATTACAATATTTACATTGATAATGGAAGTAAATTTACAATAATAAATAAAATTATAATAGATTCATTAAATAGCCTCCACATTCTCATTTCCTTCCAAGGAAGACAACAACTATAACAACTGCAAAATGATCTGGAATCCCAAGTAGATCCATCTATTTTATAATATATTTAATTTTAAAAACAAAGAAAAGAGAAGAGTAAGAACAATATCCAATAAATACAATAATTCAAAAGAATAAACAGAATTATTTATAATCAATATTAAACATATATATATATATATATATATATATAAATATATATACAATTTTCATGATACAATAAAATTTGAATTATACTTGTAGTGACTAGTCAGGATAAATGAGCATCATCATAATATCAACCAATAAAAGGATATTTCACCTTAACCAACAATAGGATATTTCACCTTCATTTCTTACTCATTTAAATCCCCAAGGTCAAACCTCCAGCTACAAATAATTCAAACTTTATCTTCTATGGCCATAGAACAATATTTATGAAGATAAATACATGAGGAAATAAGTCCAAAGTATCACAACTATATTATTATCGATTATAATATATATTTATAATAAATATATTTACGTAAAGAGAATATATTAAGAGTACCAATAATATAAATAAAAATGACAATCATTATAGAATAATTAAACAATATAAAATATAAACACCTTAATAATTAATATGGATAAAAATAATCATAAGTTAAGCAAATAATGAGGTTAGGGACACCCCACTGAATAAATACACATAAAAAATAACATAAATAAATAAACATAATAATATATAAAATTTTAAAGAGATAAGGTTCTCCTCCCCTTTACCTGAATAAGCAGGAACTAAAACTTGAGCAAAACCTCCCCTTCTAGATTCCCTCTTTCTTTCCCCCCCCTCTCTCTCTCTCTCTCTCTCTCTCTCTCTCTAAAATTTTCACCTTCTCCCTCAGCTATAATTTTTTCTTCACCCCCTGCCTCCTATTTATAGGCATTCTGGCGTACCCGGAACGGCCTGTACTGAATTCAGAATGGCCCGTTCTGGAACCTTCAAATATAGGCAAATTTTTCAACTGGAACGGCCCGTTCTAAAATCGGAATGACCCGTTTCCAAAAAGCAGAACGGCCCGTTCTGGGTTTCATTTTTACACACATTGACCATAATTAGAACGGCCGTTTCCAACTTAACTTTTTAGGCATTTTTTAAAATCTCGGAACGGCCCGTTTCCCTTTGGGAACGACCCGTTCTAGTAAAAAAACAAATAGGCCTTTTTACAAATTTGGAACGGCCCGTTCCGGGCCAACAAACACAAGCCTTTTTAGAAATCTGGAACGGCCCGTTCCACTTTTGGGAACGGCCGGTCTGAGCCCAGAAAATTATTTTATTATTTTTAATTATAAAATCTCTTTAATAATCCCATAAATATTTAAAATACATAATAATCATTTATTAAAATCTCTAAAATATTCTAGAACCCTTTTTATTAATTAATAACTATAGAAAAATAATTTTCATAAATATAAAGTATAAAACTTGGGATGTTACATCGGTAATTTTCTTGTAGTGATAAGAAAATGAATAATATGATTGCAATTTTTTTTAAGAACCTAATTAAAATTTCCAAAAAAATAAATAAATAAGTCAGAGAACAAATTTACAAGAAATTCTTGTCTTTCGTTTTGACTTGTTTCATGCTGTTATCTTTGTCTTAACTTTTAAGTTATTTTAGTTCTTTAGTTATGACTATTACTTGCATGTTTGTATGATTCTTGTACACTTTAGTAAAATTTTATGTTCTCTTAAAAAAAATAATGCTGGAAAGAGGCAACAGTATAGCTATGTCATCCTGATGATGTCTTTGATTTGCAAGTTAATTTCTTTCGCAACGAACAAGGACCAGAAGTTTGTTTCAAGGCAACATTTCAACCTCAAATTAATAATTTATTGGCATGAACTATCTAGTTCTATATAGAGAGACACAAAATTTGCAGATCTAAGTAGTGTGGTTGTGCATCTTTGTCTCAATACAATAGCTATTTTTGTCAAGAATAATCTAACTGAGAACGACAAACTTGACCAAACATCCTTTTCAGCAAACGTAAATCAAAAACTAATGATAATTTAATTAGCTTAATTATAATATATAAACCACGTTACAACCAATTAGAAAGGCATGCATGTGCATAACAATAATCAATCAACGCACGTCGTGCTCATGCATTACTTTTTAATCTCACTTTCAAACTAAAGTTTACGATCTTTGAGCTTAATTGACTAGATCTTCGTTGATCCACACAATTTTGTGAAAGATCACTATTAAGCAATAGGGAGAAAACATAATATTGAAAGGGCCAACGCAACATAAAACTGTTCCATTTTCTTAATCAAGAAGGACAATACTTTATGTTTCACAATTATTTGTATCTAAATTAGAGTGAGATGTGTCAACGAAGAGAAAAAGTTAAAGAGTTTTTTTTTTTTTTTTTCTATCTATTGGGGAGCGTGTGTGGCCAATATAATATAAATACATGTTCTATATGTATTGGTGAACATCTCTGCTTTATCACATGCAATGGAAATTTAAAAAAGAACAACAAAACAAGCAAGCTCGGACATTTAAGTAGTTGTCTATCTTTTCAAATATTTTTAAAGCTTGTATTAATTAATATCATAAGAATTGGACACGTAATTACAATATTTTATTATTACTTTGTTAAATATTACTTTATAGTATCTTTATGTTATAAAGATAATACAAAATATCTCTGGGTTAATAATATAAAATATATATCACGGGCTTTTCGCAACTTTTTAATAACAGTCAACATTGGCATGTCGTTTCCTAACAGCTACCCAACACAAATGGGGACCCTACATTGTTGAAAAATCAAAAAGCATGGGCACCCCTGATTGAACAAATTAAGTTCACTTCATCGATCTTAATACAACGTTCATGTACCAAGATAGATAATATAATATACAGTTCACAAATAATTAAATTTCTTAAATATATAGTTTTTTTTACACCATCTTAAACATGCAGTTAAGAATTCAATTTTCAAGTTTATGTATAAAAAAAAAATAACCTTTAAAATAAATCTTTGTATATTGAGGATATTGATCTTTAATTCTCAACGAAAGATAAAAAAAAGGATATTTATAATTTAATAGAAAAAGCTAAACAGATCATTTTTATGGATATGAAGCTGTTAATTTTAGATCTCAAGATGAGTCTTTTAATATATAGTTGTGACAAATATTTATAAAGAGAGTTTTGTTATTTATATAAATATATCTGAATTGAATAACATTACTTTGGGCAGAGGATATCTGTGATTTAATCCACATGTTGATGTAAAGCTATTAAAAATGATTAGGTGAGGGTGTGAGCTACCAGGTTGATGCATCATGCATGGTCTATATATTGGAGAAGTACTCATGTGCAATATTTCTCACACTAGAACAAGTTGATAAGAAGAATGGGTGTTTCTCCTTTTCGGACTTGTAATTCTTCTTCAGCCATTGTTGTTGCATTAGTTGTGTTGCTGTTTCTTGCTGGGACCTCTTCGGCAAATCTCTCAAACAACTTCTATTCTAAGAAGTGTCCCAATGTTTTCAGAACTGTAAAATCTGTTGTTAAATCTGCTGTGGCCAAAGAACCTCGCATTGGAGCATCTATTCTTCGTCTCTTCTTCCATGACTGCTTTGTTGATGTAATACTCCTTACCCTTTCTTTCATATTTGATGTAATTTGCATGTCATGAACCTTTTGTTCACAAAGTAATTAATTCTTGTTAATTATCGGAAAAAACTATAATCTTACGTTGATTTAAAGATAAATCATAAAATAAAATATATAGGTATGAAACAATCATCATCTTAATTATTTATCAATTTTTTAAACTTTGTTAAACACAAACTCACCTTTTAAGATTATCAAACTAGCTAGCTCATATTATATTTCAAAACTTCACTCTCGTTTTCAGAATGTTCTCGTAGTTAATTAAGATCTCATCCATGGCAATTACATATAACTTCCACTCATGATGTTTTTTCCTTTTATATAGGAAAAAATATTAGTTTTCATTAATAAAAACATATGGATGATATCATTTGTAATATAATCTTCGGAAAAGATAAGATGGAAGTTTTATAATCTTTCCATGTTTTTCTTTTTCCTTCCTTGTTGAAGGAGAAGTGTTCAACCATCTAGCCATGAATAGTTAAATAGTGTTATTATTCGACCTATCAGTCAATTATGCTTTAGCTAGTAACATTAATTTTAATTTTTTTTAACTCTTAAAAGTAGAGTTTACTATACTCTAATAGTAAGTAAATAAATTATTATATATACTTATTACTTTTTGTTATGTAGTAATGATACACATCACATGTACATTATATGTTCCCATATGACACTCTTGGTTATTCTTTATTTTTCTTTTTATCATTTATCATTTCTATTATATTTACACTTGTCTCTGTTGCTTGTATTATGTCCCTTTCTAAGCGTCTAATATATAAATAACTAAATAAGTATATGATGCACAGACATCCATGCATTGTTTAGCTTTAATAAAAATGTATGAGAGAGATTGATGTGACAAAAAGGTTAAAATAATTTTACTTAATACTGTAGAAGTAATCAGTAGTGCAATTTTGCTTTATGGGCATTTGTATGATGACGTGTTTTTCTTTCTTTCTTTCGATAGATTTTCAAATAATCAGTTGTTGAATAGTGACAGTGTGCCAACTGTTTGAATTGTACATCTCAAGTTGATAAATGACGTGAGGTCCTAAATGTTTATTATTGAGATCTTAATAATTAAATACATTAAGTATTATTTAAATTATAGTTATGAAATTAATTATAATATATTATCAATCAATTATAATGATTTAACATTTCATACTTAACTAACAAGATAAATTAGACAACATATAATAATATTATAGAATTCCGTTGTCCCGTTGTAATTTTTACTGATAGTAAAAAGAAAAAGATAAATAGTTATTATGTTAATGTATTTCGAATAAGTTTTAATTTTAAATTTTAATCATGAATTTTATATTACTACGTAAAAAATTAATTTTGATCCTGATCTAAAGTTCTAAATCTAAACTATCATTGAGGATATATCATATATGTCCCACTTCTTTTGTTTTGTTTATCACATTAGTGCGTTGATTTGACACTTGGAAATTGATTTGTCTTCTTTGAGTAATCTACTTTACAGATAAAAGTAAAATAACCCAAATTAATGTTATTTAAAAATACATAATTTATAATTTATTGTACAAATATCAATATTCATTAATAACTGATATGTTTTATTTATAACTATAAAATTGATATAAGATATTTACAATTTCATCAGTGATTAATCTTTGACAGAAAATTTAATTGAACATTTATAAAACCTTCTTTTTTAATTACGTTTTTTTCATTTATAATTTTTTAATATAAAACTTCATTTAAAAAATTGAATCCAATTTAACTCCTGTTAACTTGTTAGTCATTAATAACTAATATGCTTCATATTTTAGTGATAGAAAAATAAGCGAGTAAATATTTTTGTTTTTAGGCTTAAATATATTTTTAGTTCTTCAAATTTAAAATAAATTTATTTTTATTCCTTAAATTTAAAAGTGTTATTTTTAATCTCTGTAATTTTTAAAAATCTTGTTTTAGTCCCTTAGGTCACAAGAAACATACTTGAAAGTAACTAATTATGACAATTATGCAATATTAACCGGATTTAATGTGATATTTTCACTAATAGAGATACGAATAGGTATTGTTTTATGAAATATTGTTTGATGAATTTTTTAATAAAATTTGAATATAAAAACTAAAATAAATTTTTTTTAAATTACAAAGACTAAAAACAATAATTTTAAATTTGAGGGACTAAAAATAAATTTATCCTAAATTTGAGAGAGTAAAAACATATTTAAGCCTTATTTTTATTTAATGTTATTATAAAAATATCCCATTAATGATTTTGAAATTAACAGGGGTGTGATGGGTCATTACTACTTGATGACACTCCATCGTTCCAAGGAGAGAAGACTGCAGCAGCTAACAACAATTCTGTGAGAGGTTTTGAAGTAATTGATGATATAAAGTCTAAGGTTGAGAAATTATGCCCTCGTGTTGTCTCATGTGCTGATATCTTGGCCATTGCTTCTCGTGACTCTGTTGTGCTCGTAAGTTCATAACTAAACACTCACTTTCACCAATTTTTAATAACCAACCCTAGATATTATTATTCTACATCCATGTTCAAGAGTAAACATACATTAATCAACAAGTCATTAATTTAAGTGGTATTAGATTTGATTCTTAAATTTAAATTTTATAAATAAAAAAGTATAATTAAAAAAATAATCTCTATTAAAAATGGTCAATGAAATAAAAATTAGTTATGAAACCAATATAACAAGTTGGTAATATTTATATTAATTATCTCATTTTTATTAAATAAAATTTATGTCAAAGAAGCCTAACCTAATGATTAATCATTAACATATAAACTTATGTTTGTAGTGTGATATTTTAAACATAGTTGATAAATTAGTTGTTTTGATGTATTGTGTAGCTTGGAGGGCCTTTTTGGAAAGTAAAAGTTGGAAGAAGGGATTCTAGGACAGCAAATTTCACAGCTGCAAACACTGGTGTTATTCCACCTCCAACATCTAACCTCAGCAACCTTATCACAACTTTCAGGAATCAAGGGCTCTCTGTTAGGGACATGGTTGCCTTATCTGGTATCTCTCTCTTATTATTCTCCCTTCCATTATATGAACCATTAATCCCTTTGTCTGTGCCCAGTTGAGACATGTTTTAATGATGATTTCGTATCTAACAGTGGTTTTTCCTAACAAAATTCATGCCAGAATGTGACATTCAAACAACCACGTGCATTGGATCAAGTCCTTTTTAATGAGCTTAATATAGTCAAATTCATTTGACAGTAACACATTAAGAAAGGCACATTTAACCATCTCAGAATCATCCATGATATTTCGATTTCAATGTCCAATGAAATAAGTGAATCAAAGAAATTACTGCCATTCATATTTCATTCATAACTAATGAATATAATATCTTCTTAAACTTTAAGTTTGAACCTAACTCAACTTCAAAAGTTAACTATCAAGATAAGAATTATTCTTACTTATATACACTATTTTGATTATATTTAATACTAATTATAGCTACAACAAATCAATCATTAAAAATTATATAGTAACATTGAAGAATTCTTTGTTTCTATCGATGATATCTTGTGTGCTCTCAGGATCTCACACAATTGGCAAAGCAAGGTGTACTAGCTTCAGAAGCCGCATATACAATGAGAGTAACATTGACAGAACATTTGCATTGGCCAGGCAGAGGAGGTGTCCAAGGACTAATGGCACAGGAGACAACAACCTAGCAGTTCTAGACTTCAGAACTCCAAACCACTTTGACAACAACTACTACAAGAACCTCCTCATCAAAAGGGGACTCCTCCATTCTGATCAAGTTCTATTCAGTGGTGGATCCACTGATTCATTGGTCAGAACTTATAGCCAGAACAACAAGGCCTTTGATTCTGACTTTGTTGCTGCAATGATCAAGATGGGGAATAACAAACCCTTAACTGGCTCACAAGGGGAGATTAGGAGGAACTGCAGGAGAGTGAATTAATTAGAAAAGACATGTGAATTTATTTGTTGTGTTAAAACTGTGGGAAGTTGTTTGGTCAATTGAGATGTTTGAGTTGTTTCTCTTGTGGATTGGAAAATTGTGAATTGCAATTAGTTTAGTTTATATTGTACTCTAGTAAGTTGTAACTTCATCACTTATTATGGAATAAATTGCAAGGCATTTTGCCTAGTAATTATCAAAAAAGAGAACACAAGCAGGCGCCTAAGATTTTGCTTTTCTTTGATATTCAGTGTAATTCCCGCAAGAAATCCAAAAATTGGAAATTATTTCAATATTTCAATCCCACCACAATTAATTGATACTTAATTATAAAGTAGTCAATGACTTGTACCATCAAAATCTCTAAACTATTAAAGTTAGTCCAATGATAAAGAGTTGAAATATTATATACATAATTTTAAATTTAAATTTTATTGTTGTCGCTATAATTAATATATAACTTTTTATATATTAGAATTATAATGATGGTAATAAAGTTTGAACTTAAGATCTTATGCATATTATTGCAATTCTTCATTGTTAAGTTGATTCTAATGGTTAATATAACTTGTTTAAGTAATCATAAATTACTTATCAAGTAGATGGAAGAAAAAGAACATATATTTTTTTATGAAAGATATTACTCTTAAGAATGAATATGAAATTTGGCATAATTCAACTTTAGGAAACAAGTTTATAAGTTAAAAGATTATTTTCTCTTATATATAATATTTTAACTATATTACTAGTAGATATCATATCTCTAATAATTATTCTCAAGTAATTATCTAATATTATTATAAGATGAATGAAATAAATCTATTTTTAGAACATTTCCCCAGCTGAATGTATTTTGGTTAAGAAAAATGACTCATATTACTATTAATTTTAGGTGTATAGGCATTGAATATTTTTGGAAGTGGACACTTATACCATTGATTTACGCGATAGGTATCTGCAAACTGCAATTGTTTGTGATAGAAACTGTAGTGTATAAGGCATTATGTCTTGTTTATGGCTATCCATTTCTTTTGTATCTAAGAATGGGGAGATTGATATTGGAGAATCGGTAGAAAGAACATCAGATAAAACTAAAAACAATTTTTGAAAATACAAATTAAAGTTGCCCTTAATTTATTCTTGGTTTTTTTTTCATCCACTTAATTTAAAATTTCAGATACAATTTGTTGAAAAATACTTTATATTAAATTAAATCAAAAATTATTTTTTGATAAATTATTTTCAAAGCAGTTAATTACAGCTTAATTTTCTAATTTCCAAAAGTCGCCAAATATATACAATTAAGTTTACTTCGGCTTGGAGTGACTCATATGTAGCAATCACCAGCACTAGAGTTTGTCATCCAAATCACAATCATATCCTTTAGAATCACTGATGTGAAAACTTCATTTGGATGTTGTTGATCTTACTACTTTTATTTTATAAGTTCTCTGACTTTTTTTTATCTTCAATCTGTCATAATCATTGTTAATAACTATCACTAAAAAAGATAATTCTAAGAATTGAAGAAAACCAACGAAATCAGTTATTTGATTCAATTTTCTAACAGATCTGATTTGATTCTGAAAAGCAAGTTTGTATGCTTTCATTGACTATGAGCTCAGATTGAATCTTCTTGATTAAGTAAAATCATAAACTTCACAAGTATTGGGGAAAATTATTTGTGCTAAATAGGAAGGTAAAATTCTACCGGAACATTTTTGCATGTGTTTCACGACACCTTTTTTTTTACAATGTGCATTCTATTTTCTAAATCTGAATTTTTTTTAATAATTAGATTTCTTTTTTTTTAATACTTAGATTTCTTAGATTCCTTACAAATTTCAAAATTGAAAAGGTTAATTTTAGTAAATTTTGCTATTATATGCTTGCAGTGCCTCAAAATGCAACATTGTTTATCGAAAAATATTTATAAAATAAAAGACCTTCAAAATAAAATCTTTTAAAAGGATTTTGTCAAAGTTTGATGGGAAGAAAAAGGTTGGATGTGAAAAATTCAAAGATGACCTAGTTTGCAAGGACGTGGACTAGAAATATTATATTATTTAATTTTTTTTTTCTAATTATAAGTAAAAAAATTCTAAATATAAATAATAATCATTAATTTTTAAAATTTTTCAAAATTAATTTTTTTATTTCTTTTATTTATTGTTAACTTTATTTTCTATGCATAAAATAAAAGGTATTATTTTAGAAAAAGAAACTTAAATTCATGATAGAATTAATTAAAAAATCATATTAATTATTTTTTTCTGTTTGATAATTTATCTTATATTACTTATAATGTAATATAATTAGAACCAAAAGTATAAAAGTTCAATTAGTAGATATTGTAGAGTCGGTGAAAATTAAAGCATTAAGTTGGCTAAATAAATTAAAAAAAAAAAAAAAAAAAAAAAAAAAAAAAAAAAA